TCAGTCCCTCTTCTATAGAATAGCCATCTCTCCTTTTGTGAGCCTTCAGTCCCTCTTCTATAGAATAGCCATCTCTCCTTTTGTGAGGGTTCCACATGTGCATTCGGGATTTTGAATGAGAACATTAGGGTTACAATAATCAGATATATTTTAAGCTACATTGAGAGACCATCACAGATTTGAATTATGATCTTCATCTATCAAGAGAAAGGTTAGTAGAATAAACATGAAGTCTCCAACTAGGTTCCCAAGCGTTCTAGTGCACGGGTGAATGTGTGGGAAGAGGCTAATGCCACTGAAGATGAACGGCATCCAGGAGACTTCATTCTGTTTACGATTAATATGAGCAAGCATGGAATGTGACTTATCTTTTGAGATTTAGGCTGTATTAATAGAACATGTATGAAGAGCAAAAGAATGATAACTCTACCTTACCTCTGACAGTCAAATAAGACACACAGTACCAGATTGTAAAGGTTAAACAGATCTGGTCTTAAGGAAAGTAGCTGGAATATTGAAAAGATGAAAATTATGTTTCTCCAGATGTGGTGGTGCACATTTTTAATCCCAGCACTTAGAAGGCAGAGGCAGGTGGATCTCTGTGAGTTCAAGGCCAGCCTGATAGCAACTTCCAAGATAGTCAGGGCTACGTAGAGAGACCCTGTTTCAAAATAAATAAATAAATAAATAAACAAAAAGTAAGTTATGTTTTATGAGACATTGTGTGTGTGTGTGTGTGTGTGTGTGTGTGTGCATGTGTCGCTTAGGCTAGAACCCAGGGCCTCATTCCTTTGAGCCATACCGCTAGTCCTCATACCATTACAGGTACTGAGATATTTACCTTGGAAAAAAGAAACTGTGGGCATCTATTAAAGTTACCCGAGTATGTAAAGAGTTGTCACATTTTGATCTCCAGCTCCCTCAGGTCCCGCAAACAGAAGGAAAGACCAATTGGGGGAAACTACAATGACTCTTATTTCAGTCCAGATTTATATAAATCCCATGGGTTACAGAATGTTATCTTACTTCATATCCTCATTATATATACACACACACTCACACACTCAACGTTAATTTATGCCAAGTCATCCAGTCAGCAGACTCAACTTGAGTTTCCTGACTCTCAAATCCAACAGTCATTTGAGAGCCTGACAAGGAGGAGAGGAGGTGCTTCATGGGGAGGAGAGCGGTTCACGTGTCTAAAGTAGTAAGTCATTTGGGGAAGTAGTGAATGGTCACGTGGGTTCAGAGACGACAGGGTGGTGAGCAGTTCAGAATGCTGTGCGCAGAATTGGCTTATGTGACAAGAACTGTTAACTGTAGGATGCCATGGGGACTCTGGACAGGCGAGGAGCTGATGGAAGCACCAAGCAGCTATGTATCTATACATCTTACATACCTATGGGATACTTAGTTACGTTTATTCCCTCTAGTATATATTTACTGAAGCAGAACTCAGCGCAGGGGATGTGGAATGCTAAGTGGAAGTCAATTTTTTTTTTTTACAATGCAGGATACTTCCTTCTGGCACAATTTATTAAGTTGATGGGGAAGAAATAGCTTAAAAGGAAAACAAACAAACAAGAAAACACATGGCTCACGTCATGTCTTAATTGGTTCCTGTTTAAATATGTAAATTTTTTTTCTTGTAGATTTGGAGCTAAATATGTAAATTTTTTATAATACTAACATGTTTTTATTAACTTCCGTTTTCTTTTTCAGAGTTTCTTTATCTGAAGCTCATGCTCGACTGAACTTAAGGAATAAAGTACTCAAGGAAGATGTGCTGATTGCAGCCTTATTGTTTGAAATGTCTCTCACGTTGAAATATGGTAATTCACTAATAATGATTCCTAAATAGTCTTAGATTATTATTACCTACACTTTAAATACTTCAAAGTAATCTTTATTGTTATTAGATAAAGCTTACCTGAATTTGAACATTTGCTGTTTATAGGGGAATTCCATATTTTTCCTTGTTCAAGACAGAGTCTCACCATATAGCCCAACTGGCTGGGAACCCAAACCGTACCACTCAGCCTCTGAGTACTGGGCCTCCAGCTGTGGCCATGCTGCTGGGTGGCAGTGCCGTCTGACCATAGACGTCTGATTCTGTATGATTGCTGTTGGGGACTTCTGTGAGACTAAGCCTCACCACAAAGCCCAGGCTCACCTTTAACGTGCCGTGCTCAAGCCTCAGTCTCCTGTGCTGAAAACAGCAGGCGTTCCTAACCTCTGCTGACCGGTCCCTTTCGCTCCCAGACTAAGCCAAGCATTCTTAACCTAGGATCCCTGGATGCCTCAAGCCCAAGAGGCCTATAAATCGTTATCTACAAATTCGTGTGTGTCCTCTACAAAGGACATAGATGGAAAGCTCTAGGAAGTAGGTTATGGAGTTACTGATTACTAGAAAAGATTGTCATCCTGAACTAGTTTAGACAGAACACTGGTTCCAACGAATACTAATAGTAGGGATATGTAAGTATTCTAATTTGTCTTATTTTACTTATTTTAAGGCCATATTTTTTTCAAATCAGAGTTATTTTCTATACCATAAAGAAACGTGCTGCAGCCAGGTGGTGGCGCACGCCTTTAATCCCAGCACTGGGAGGCAGAGGCAGGCGGATCTCTGTGAGTTCAAGGCCAGCCTGGTCTACAGAGTGAGTTCCAGGACAGCCAAGACCACACAGAGAAACTGTCTCAAAAAACTGAAAAGGAAAGAGGAAAGAAGAAAGAGAGGGAGGGAGGGAGGAAGGAAGGAAAGGTGACATCAATCTCTTTAATTCCTTTAGCTGATGAATTTCAGTTAGGTGTTTGTGATTTTTAACTCTGAGGTAATACAGTGTTAAAACGCTTCATAAATATTACTTCACTTTTTATTAGTTTTTAAGTTAGCAAAGTGATAAGTTTCCTTATGGAATTTTCTACATATGTCATTATACTTTCTTACTGTCCTTACTAAGTCCCTTCCCCACTGCCATCCCCATACCTCGTCCTCACACTGCTTCTTCCCCCCAAAAAAGTAGAGAACAGAGTGAGGTAAATAAGAGTAGGAGATAAGCAAAGAAAAACAGTGAAGGACAAGCAGATCAAAGAAATGTGGGGAAAGGAAGAGTGCAGGATGTAATGGAGGGGAAGCTAAAAGACAAGAGGTTTTAAAGGGAACAAGATTTCCCAATTGTGAGAAAGATGGTGTTGGGGCAGCTTCTGTGTCCTTGAAACTGACTCAGCCAGTTCTGAGTGGGGAGAGGGGTCAGCTGAATTTACACAGTGGAGATGAATGCTATGGAGAATACAGAACTATGTGTTAAGAACTAAGGAGACCCTTATAAGAAAGAGTTATTTAACCTCAAGGGCGAGGTATCCAGGTAGAGGGCACTGCAATCAACGTAGGTGCAGGGTGACTAAAATGTTGCCAACCAAGCTGAGCAAACCAGTAGGTTATAAGGAAAATGGGGTCAGAGTAAGGTAATTAGGGTGCTGGTCCTAGAACAAATGGGAAGAAACTAAATGTTTTACGAGACCGAATATCAACTATATTTTGGAACAGTTGTCTTTGGTGAATCTTTGTTGAGACAGGGTTTCTGTGTAGCCTTGGTTATACTGGAACTCACTTTGTAGACCAGACTGGCCTTGAACTCACAGAGATCCACCTGCCTTTGCTTCCTGAGTACGGGAATTAAAGGTGTACACCACCACTGCCAGCCTCAGTTCAGAACTTTTAAACATTTATTATATGCTGGGACGAAAGGCATGCGTCACACCCAGGTTGTCTTTAGTGAAAGGTTGGAATTATAGGGACTATTGTTATACTCCATGCAATTGTAATGCAAGCTTTGACTAGGTCAAGAGTAGAAACAGAAATTAGTGAAAGACGGACCTTTGATGCAACATCTAGTCAGCTTTGCTAATGAGCTAGATTAGGACCTCGACACTGCTATTAAAATTACGATTGCATCTGCAAAGGCAGAGGTTGGAGTGGGAATGGATGTGTGGCTATAGAGATAGCCTGAACTGGACAACTGAACATTGAAGATAAGGAACTAAGTGGGAATGGGGCTCTAGTTGGAGAGGATGTGTGATCCAGGAATGGACTTGCTCTCAGTGTAAACTCTCAAGTGTTTATAACATATAGTAAACCACTGATAGCACAGTCATCAACACTGAGCATGCTGGAGAGCAGCCTGGGGAGTGTTAACACTGACCCAAGTGGAGTCATGGGAGCTTAAGTCTTAGGAGGCGAGGATCCAGAACCAGGGTGAATGGCATATACTAAAGATCATTTTCTACTTAAAATATATTTCAATCAGCCAGATGTGACGATCCTCTTATTCACAGCACGCAGAGCAAGAGCCTGCCTCAAAAAAGACCAAAAATTTAAAACTTAAAAGGACCAGATTCTAGTCAACTGTTCAGAAGACAGGATTTCTTCTCTGTAGCTTTGGAACCTGTCCTAAAACTCACTCTGCAGACTAGGTTGGCCTCAAACTCAGAGATCCGCCTGCCTCTGCCTCCTCAGTGCTGGAATTAAAGGCATGTGCCACCACTGCCCGGCCAGTTCAGAAGTTTTAAACATTTATTTTTTCAAATGTTTTCCACTTTTAGTTTTTAGGTCTGTTTACACTGTTACTTTGTTCTTCATTTAGGGGCCAGTGCATTCTGTGTCGCTCCCAATGCACTGTTTCCGTTCGAACTGTATAATGAAGAGTATTTAGAGCAAAGAGACCTCTACCTGACTCAGTGCCAGCAGCAGCTCCAGCAGTTTATCACCACATGTGGACCTGGGACAGCTCTCTTTTCTACTGACGAATAAAGCAATCTGAGCGAAGGGTTTCTTCTCATGCCTGTCAGCCTTGGCTAACTGTATGAGTGACTCGAGTCATGCTCAGCTGGGTATGGTCTTGAGGTATCTAGTAGAATGCCATTCAGAGTACAAAATGTGGCCCCTCCGTAACTAACAAATGATCCAAGTATTCAAAACCAACAGAATTTTTTTTTAATTTACACATTAAATTACCAAGGAGAATCATATCAAAACTTCCTGGTTACCCCAGTGTTATCAAAGATACACACAGTAGAGAACATAGCAGTGTGAAAAAAGGTCCCATCCACTCCCATCAGGTAGATACCATGCTTGTTAAGTTACAAAATTGATGAGTTTAAATCACTGCAATTTTTATAACCCAGTGCCTAATGTAAAGCCTTTTGATAGTTTATCAAGGGCATTATGGATATATTGCTTTATAAGCCCAAGTATGAAGTCAAGGAAAGATGTGGACTTCCTACATATACCCTTTATACAACCAATGACTGGAAAGACCTCCTGGGGGCCAATGGTCTTCCTGCCTCCAATTAGCTGGTCTACAGTGCCTGACTTTTGTATTACTAAGTATTGACTCTGATGAGCAGGTTAACAACAGTGCATACAAATTAAGTCCTGTCTGTGCTTTTTCATGTGAAAGGTAAACCAACCTCCCTCAACACACACAGTACCTCTCACAACCAAAGTCTAGCATTAGGAATATCCCCGCCCCACCCAGGGAACAAACCCAGGGCCTTGTGCCAGTTAAGCAACCACTTCCTCAGCCCTTAATACAAAGGCTTTTAAATGCCCCAAGTCATCAGAATGTTGATGTGTTCTTATGCTATTTACTAAACCCAGGAACTCAAGAGGCTAAAAATTTAAGTCTTCACTCGAAATTGGTTCAGACTTGTCAAGTGACTTCCTACAGTGTACCCTGGTTACTACATTAGACAGACTGCCCAACACTGTCCCCTAAAGTGTACCCCGGCTACTGTACCAGAGAAACTGCCGAACACTGTCCTCTACAGTGTACCCCAGCTACTGTACTAGACAGACTGCTGAGCACTGTCCCCTACAGTGTACCCGGGCTGTGGACAAATAAAACGAAGCTCAAAAGACATACATTTTAAAGAAACTACTACCCACACAGTTAGCAACTTATTTCTACATAATTTATTGTTGATTACTATAAATCAAAACACTAATTCATCATTTGCTTCTGTTCACGGATTCTTGACCAATTCTTCATTTCACCATCCACAATGTGTGCTGCTGCACCTTCCAAAGGAAAAAGACAGTGAGAACCCCATGGTATTTTTCCTCAAGCTCAAAAACTAAGCCCGGGTATTTATCTCAACAGCCTTTGAAAAAATGTCAAGGAAACAGACATTCAAATGTGATTTGAAAAGGAACTGGTCCCAGTCCCTGAGTGTTATCAAGAGATGTGACTGAGCAAACTTACCAAAAGTGTTTGTAAACATCACAGCTCCTGAGGTGGGACTTTCGCCTGCAGCTACCTACATGCCAGATAAACAGTACACCGGTTTCAACAAACAATCACCTTGGTAATATGCATTATCTCTACATTGCTGGCATCTCAGTCTTAAGAGTATTTCTTCAAAGACACCCTCAGCTGGGTAAACGGCAAACTCTAAGTCATCATCATGCCAGCTATTAAGCCACAAGAACCGGCCCTATGTGTTGAAAAGGTTCTTAGGTATTAATCAAATCACACACAAACCTTAATATCTGTACCTTGTTACTGGCAACTGCCGTCCTGGTGGCTTATTTAAATCGTGTTCTGTGACAAGTTTCTGGAAAACATTTGTTCAAGCACGTTCAAGAGGCAGGTTTTGTTGCACCTAAAAATTAAACATTTGATTGTGAACTCATTTGTTACTTCCACATTTAACACCTTCTGATTGTGCTGGCTAGTCAGTAGAGGAAGCCTCAATTGAGAAAATGCCTGCAGAGGGCGTAAACCATTAATCAATTCTTCCCAGCCTGTAGGCTCTCATCTCTCAGCCGTGTTATCCACCCCCTTCACTGAGGCAGTACTGATTTAAGACAAGGACGGATCCTGAGTAGCTAGCCTTTGCTCACTAGCCTCGGGGCTTACAGGTGAAAAGCTAGAAACCCAACTACAGTTGCGCAGACCAGCACAATTAAACAGCAAAGGGCATGGCCAGGATCACAGATGTGTTCTACAGACTCCAAAACACTAAATCACGGAGCCAGTTACTGGAGATGATTTATTAAGACTGTAAAACTCACGATGTCTGCAAATTTTGCTCCAACTTCAAAGCCTCGTTTAGAGCGTACTTACAAGACCTAAAACTGACCGTCTTGATATGAGAGACAATACATCCCACCGCTATCAAACTGTAGTACAGGGAAATAGGTCACTCACTTAAGAAGCCTGAAATAGGCTGCACCGTGGCTCTTCTGGTGGACACAGTGCAGGCCCAGCGAAAGCTGCCGCCAGGAGCGGCCGCTCCTTCCCGCACTTCGATGCGTCCTGAGGCGCAGGCCTTTAACTAAGGGCCGCCAAGGGCTGTTGTCCCCCGAGCTAGAGCAGTTCAGGATCTGCAGGTTATTTTAAAGCCCGAGCGCGCGGGAACGTGAATGCGAGCGGCCGCGCAGACCAGGCCATGTGGCCCACCGTACCCGGTGAGGGACCGACGCCGTCAGCTGGGTGCCCCGCTCCGCACCGACGGGGTGGACAGACCGCGGGGTTCGCACCTGGAAGAGCCCGAGGACAGGCCGGGTTCCACAGGCCCGGGCCTCCGCCGCCCGCCATGCTGCACGAGAAGACTGTGCTCCCGGACGCCGGGCGGAAAGGAAGTGAGGAGCTCGCCGCAACCCTAAGGCGCTCTCCAGGCCCCGCCTCTTCCGGGCATTCCCTAGCCCCGCCCTCGCGCCTCTAGTGGGGCGGAGGGAGCAGTTTGTGGGCGTTACTGGGGCTCAGGAATATTTTAGCTAGAGCTTTTGAATTGACTTTGCAAGTGAATAATGCTTTAAAATAGGACAGTCTCCCAGTCCTGGTGCTTCTTTTGGTCTTCTAAATTCTCATCTACTTCTGTGTTTTAAAAACTGCTGGTATTAGCAAGCCCATGTAATTTTTTAAAAAGATTTATTTTATGTGTATGGGTGTTTTCTCTGCGCGTGTGTATGTGCACCACCTGCGAGCCTCGTGCCGACAAAGTTCAAAAGAGAGCGTTGGATCCCCTGGAAGTGGTTATATTATAGCCAGATCTGAGGCAAGCTACTGCGTGGGTGTTAGGAACCTAAATTCTGGAATCAGTATGCACACATACATGCCTGCACACACACACACACACACACCGACACACACATATTCATAAATACACATCCACCATCATATGTGCACACTCACACCACACACACACACACACACACATTGGTCGTTAGAAAAAAGGAAAAGCCGTTAACTACTTGATTGGCATTAGTAATAGAATTTTCCCTTAGTAGTCATAGTCACCTACTGTTTTAGGGTTTCTGTTGCTGTGATGAAAAACCGTGACCAGGGGCTGGAGAGATGGCTCAGAGGTTAAGAGCATTGCCTGCTCTTCCAAAGGTCCTGAGTTCAATTCCCAGCAACCACATGGTGGCTCACAACCATCTGTAAAGGGGTTTGGTACCCTCTTCTGGCCTGCAGACATATACACACAGACAGAACATTGTATACATAATAAATAAATATTTAAAAAAAAAAAAGAAAAACCGTGGCCAAAAGCAAGTTGGGGAGAGAATGAGCATTTTTGAATTACCGTTCCACATGACTTCATCACTGAAGGAAGCCCGGACAGGAAGGCACGGAGGACAGAAACCACGGCAGAGGCCATGGAGGAATGCTGTTAACTGGCTAGCTCTGCTTTCTTTCTGATAGAACCCAGGACCGACCATTGGCCCAGTGGTATCCCCACCTACAGTTGGTTGGGTCCCCCCATCAATCACTAGCTCAGAAAATGCCCGACAGGCTTGCCTACAGCCGACTTTCTGGAGGCCTTTTCTCAGTTGAGGCTCCCTCCCTCTCAGACTACCGTAGTTTGTGTCAAGTTGCCGTCAAACTAGCCAGAGCAGTTACCTTGCTTATGAACAGGTTATGATTTACTCTTGATTTTCTTGTGTTTAATTTTTTTATTGGGGTTCATCATGGATGTGCTCACATGGAAGCCAGAGAACAGCTCTGTGGACTTGATTCTGTCACCTTGGTATGCACTCCTGGGCTGCTCAGGAAGGCAGGCTGCCCAGCAAGAACCTTTATCTGCTAAGCCATCTCAATGGTCTGAACGTTCATATTTTATCAGTCTTTTCCATCTCAGTCATTATACTTGAGTCCTGTCTACAAAACGTTAGGCTTGGTACCACAAAAAGAAATGTGTATGATCTTGTCTGAAAGATATACACAAAAAAGTAAAATCACATTATTAAATTGGTAAAAATCAGGCCATCTCTCCTTTAAAGGGAGACAGGGAGACGGCTTGGTGGGTAAAGAACTTGCTGTGCGTTGGGTAATTTTTGTCAGCCTGACACAACCTGGAGTCACCTGGGAAGAGGAAGCCTAGAGTGAGGAATTGCCCTCATCAGATTGGCTGAAGGCATGTGTCTGTGGGGCGTTTTCTTGACTGATGGTTGATGTGGAAGGTCTAGCCTGCTGTGGATTGTGCCGCCTCTTGGCAGGTGGTTCTGGGTTGTATAAGAAAGCAGGACAGGGGCCTGGAGAGATGGCTCAGTGGTTAAGAGCATTGCCTGCTCTTCCAAAGGTCCTGAGTTCAATTCCCGGCAACCACATGGTGGCTCACAACCATCTGTAAAGAGGTCTGGTGCCCTCTTCCAGCCTGCAGGCATACACACAGACAGAATATTGTATACATAATAAATAAATAAAATAAATATTTAAAAAAAAAAGAAAGCAGGACAGTGAGTAGCATTTGTTTGTGGTTTCTGCTTCAGTTCCTTCCTTGAATTTCTGTTTGGGATTCAGTGATGAACTATGATGTGGAATTATAAGACAAAACAACCCTTTTCTCCCTAAGTTGGCTTTGGTCAGTGTTTTATACAAAGCAACAGAGAAGCAAATCTGGCAACATGCAGTCCAGTGCACAGGAGGATCCCTGGAGTCCTGTGGCTAGACAGTGACAGAAAGCCTAGGTTTTAAAAACAGGACCCTGTGAGATTACTGCTGACTTCGTTCAACAGTTACCGGTCAGCCCCTATCTACCAGGGCTGTCTGTGAGACAGCCTGTCTCCCAAAATAATCTGTCTTGCTTGAGCAAACAATTCCAGGAAGGAAAGATTATAGCAATCTTCAGGAACTCGCTGCTTCGCTATTTGAAATAGTTTTACCTGTTGAGGTCAGACTCAGGTTTGTTTTTTGCCTTCTGTGTTTTTACTCTGGGCTCTGAAACAGTTTAGCTTAATCTGTGAGTTCTAGGTTCAGTAATACTCTGTCTCAAACAAGTCAGGTGGAGAGTAGTTGAGGACTACACCTGAGATTCATTTCTGGCCCCCACACACATGTAACACACATATGTACATACACACATGCATACAGACATACACAATAAATAAGGCGGGGAGTGATTGAGAACTACACCTGAGGTCTGTTTATGGCCTTCACACACAGATAACACATGCATACACTAAACAAGATGGAGAGGGAGAGTGGTTGCAGACCACACCTGAGGTCCATTTCTGGCCTTCACATACATGTGTGTTACATGTATACATACATACATAATAAATAAGATGAAGAGTGGTTGAGGATTACACCTGATATTGATGACTGGTCTCTGCATATGTGCACACAGACACACAAGACTGTGTGAAATCATAGGATCCCCCCCCCCCCAATCTGTTCCCACCCTCTGCAGCCTCTCTTCAGACAGTTCAGACAGAGAGCTGATAGGGCAACACCTACTGTGACCTAGCAACACGCTCCCATGCTCCCAAGCTCCCATGCTCCCATGCTCCCATGCTCCCAACACTTCAGCACTCCCCACCATCCACCACTTGCTCAGGTCCAGGGTATCTTTGATGGACAATTTTGCTCTCTTGTCTAGTGCCGTCTGTATCTGTGACTCCTACATCTCCTAGGCTAGATCACATGGTGCGGAGACCCCAGCCCTCCAGATAGCGTGGTGTGGAGCCCCCAGCCCTCCGGGTCATGTGGGTCAGAGAGAACTTGCCTTTGTTTTCCTTGAACTGCAGGTTCCCTCTCCAGGATCCCATTGCCCTCTCTGTGATGTTTGCTGCTATCATTCTCCGAATAAACTTCTTCTAAAGGGTAACTCTCTCAGTGCCCTTCTACTATACCCAACAAGGCTCTAAAAATCCATCTAATGCTGAAAAATTTGTGTAGAACCTAACATAGGAATTTAGAATCTTTGTCTTCGTCCACAAATGCAAAGTTGTTTCTTCTGTGGAGCAGTAGCCAAATTCATAGACTCATTCCTTGATGTTGCACTGACAATGTGTCCAACAAACGCATCTATGTGAGCAGCCGATGTAGAGCGTAGGAGGAAGTGAATTTGCAAGCTGAGCTGGTAGAAGCTAATGCACAAATTGAACAAGGTCTTAGTGTCGCTTGGTGCTGGCCAGGTAGGAAAGTTAGAGGCACACATGAGGACGTGTTCTCCTCTCCCCTGTTCCTATGGGACAGCCCATAGCTTTCTGTTGGCTCCTCCCAGGGAACGCACCAGGCTCTACTGCCAAGAGATAGCTGGGCCAGAGTTAAAGAATTCTTTTTTTTAATAGATTTTTAATTAAAATATAATTACAGCCCTCCTTTCTTTCCCTTTCCTCCCTCCAGCCCCCCAAGCATTCTTTGTATATTTTTGTTGTGGAGTAGAATATCTGTATAACTATGTAACACTGTGTTGATTTTGTTTATGCTGCATTTGTTGAACTCTGTAGAGATGCTTTGCTGTTTCGCTTTGCCTGCCTAAGGTACTTGATTGGTCTAATAGAAAGCTGAATGACTAATTCTAGGCAGAGGAAGGACAGGTGGGGCTAGTGGGCAGAGAGAAAGGGAGCCAGGCAGCTAGCCAGGGGCAAGCCAGCTGACGTGGAGGAAACAGGGAAGCTGGATGGACTGTCATAGATGAATAAACAAGCCTCAGCACAGCACATAGAATAGCTGAAAAGAAAGAAAGCTAGCTAGAAACAAACCTGAGATAAGGCCAAGCATTTATAATTAATAATACGTCTCCATGTCATGATTTGGTGACTGGCAGTTCAAGAAAGCCTGCTACATATTTTAATATAATTACCACATATGATGTTCAAATATATTCTTACAGTCTGCATCTTTTCATTCTCTTAAAAAAAATCTCTTTGTATTAAGAAGAGATTTATTCTCCCTAGCCCCGCAAATGCCTGAGCCAGGTGAGAGAACTGGCAGCCCTGGGGTCATAGAGGTGGAAGAGCTGTCCCTGTCCCCAATCAGCTGCAGCACTAGGGAGAGCAGGCCCTGCACTTCACATGGGCAGTACAAAAGAGCCAATCCTGATGGCCAAGGTGTGGGTGAGCCAGCCCTAAAGTTGTGAGCATGGGAGAGCTGTGCCCATTACTCATCTGTCCAGTGGCAGCATGGGGGAAGGGGGAGACACCCCCACCCCAGCCCATCAATGCCTGAGGCAGGTGGGAGAGTTGGCCCTGCACCTTAGCAGCTGCAGCACTCAGGAGAGTGGTTCCTACACCTTGCCTGGCCCTGATGGTGTAGGTATGGGAAAACAGGAGAATTGGCTCTACCCATTGCACATTCCTGCAAGGTGAGTTCCTCACTCTGGGGGTGAGGACAGGGAAGAGCTGACAGGTTGACCCACCCT